TCGCCGTCGAAGACAAAGCTGCCGCAGTGGCTGGAGCGGCTGAGTTCGGTCTCTGACGTCAGCGAGGCGCCATCCACCGAGCAGGTGCGCACCACGAACGCGGCACCGGTCTCAGCTGGCAACGAGACATGCCGGGGTGACGTGCAACACAGGTCAGATCAGATGCGAGCTGTCGACGAGGTCAACGTACCACGAACTTTGCGCGGTAGGTGCATCGTCTCAACCGTCAACCAGGCCAACCGGACACGTATCTCGCAGGGCAGGTGCTCCACCTGAACTGGCACGAGGCAAATCAGTCGCATGTCTCGCAGAGCACCACGACAACGTATAACACAAGCAGGCTACATGCGAGCACTTGCAGCTTTGTTTATTACAGGACATTAAGTGTCGAATCCTTGGGATGTCTCATGCAATGAGTCGCAAGTTTCCAAAAACATGACATAACATCAAAATGGTCCACTATACACAACTGTTGGATGGAGCAGACTCCAAATGGGGTCACATAAAACAAGACCTTAAATTCAAGTTGCAGGTTGAAGTCCAAGTCCTATGCATGCTTGGCACAAACGCGATCCCATTTGACCTCTCAGGCAACATTCCTCGAGCTCATCTCTGGCAGCGTCAGTGGAAATGACGCCACTGACGAGGCAGTCCAGCCGAGCAAAACACGACCTGCCTGACTGGAGCCTATTTGTCCATGGTTGCAGGTTCCGTGGTTCTATTGTCTCTGAGTGGGAACATGGAACGTGACAGAACGCATGACACTATGGCATGTGAGCTTTCTCGTCGCAGTCTGGCAGTAGAATGCATTGTGGAATTGAGTTGAGGTGACTGGATTGGTTTTGTATATTTCATTGTGGTTCTCCGAAAACATGACACATCACACAAAATGGATGTCCGTGCAACACATTTGAGCGGGTGCACATGCTATTGCTGCCGAGGTGCGAGCATTTTGCAGAATTGGCAACTAAAGGCAGGCTTTTGGCGACGACACGGTTCGCCGTGGATATCGGAGTCGTTTCGACGTAGCACTCAGTGTAATAAAGTAGGGATAACTTAGGGCAGGGATAAAACCGCCTCGAGCTGAATGCAATGCTGGTCCGGATCCTGCAACATTCATACGAACCGCAAGCCCCTGGTGGACAGGGCAAGCCAGCCGTGGCGGTTATATGCAATATGCATGGAGCATCAAACTGACTGGCAAACTGACAAACTGGCAATCAAATCGCAGAAGGAACTACAACCACGATAGATAATCATATAGTGTGTAACTTTAAAATGCAGGTCATGACGGCTTACCGAATGCAATTATTTTGAAGCATTTGTGACGCTTCGAAGTGTTGGAGGAAACGTGCTTTGCAAGTGTTTTAAGCACATAAGGCATACCTGTATGCGGCTGATGCGTATTGGACATGCGTTTGCGCCGGGAATAGTTGTCTTTTGTCGAGTGGCGGCGACAGCGACTTGTGGAAGCTCAGGCACTGAATACATGATCGGCCATGGATGCATGGCTGTATTGCATAGATGGATAGCTTTGGCCTGCAAATGGTTTTCTTTCCAACTGCTGTCAAGCTCATCCGGCTCTCACTGGACGTTCGAATCCGTGAATTACGTAGCCTGCTCGCTCGCATCAACGCTCCACACATTGGCATCCGTCAATTTGAAGAACGTGTGGTGAAGCCAAAGAAATAGGTTTAGAATGCCGATCTCTCGCCGGATTGCTGTCAGAATTTCAGTCCTTGCTAAGGCATTAGGCAAAAACCTCGGCTTAGGCTGGCTCAGGCATGTTGTAGTGCCCAGGTGTTACGCAAGTAGCCAGACGATGATCCTAATGTGTTGAACCAATGTAAAATACGACCAAAGTAGCATAACAAACATACATGTCATTACGGAAAAGTTCATCAAATTTTAACAGTGATATTTCAAATAGAAATGAATTGAGGTAAAATGCGTAAGCCATGCGGTAGCAAATTAGGTGCTAATGCGATAAAGGATTATGAAATACTTCTGAAAAAATTCTGAAGTGGTCTCTAAAATTTGGTTAGGTAATGCCAAAAGTGCCTTAAAGGAAAAATGGCACCCTTTTTACCTTCACTTACTATTACATCAGACGCGTCCAATTTGGTGTGTACTACCAGGCTTCTCGAAATCCTTCTAAATAAGTTAGAATTTATATTTGACGTAGACATTCCGGTGGAAGAAAGAGCATTAAATTTTCTGCTCACCTCCATGAAAGCAATACTTTCTTTTGCCTCGTTTTTCTAAAGTTTGTGACCTGTCATATTTTCAAGACAGTGAGTTGCCAGCATGCTTGTATATTGAATGCCACGAAAGCTTGAAACCCTCTTGATAAGATAAAAAGCATCTACAAGTATGAGCCTATGATCATGCGAATTCAACAGCACATCAAACTATGGCTTTGATTTATCTTCTTGAACCGCGCTTTGGCTCTTGGAAAAAGTATCACATGATCTTAAGTTACGCACTGGCTCAAATTTCAACCCATGCGCTCCACGGCTAATGGCCTTCGCCTGCTACTGCGCCAATCATATACGCCATTACTGGCGTCATTAATTTTGTTATTTTTATTATTCATTGCTATTACGATAACTGTTTTCAATGATTTTTAAGACTTATTAAGTAATATAACCATTTTTCCAATAAAAGTTATTAACTGCCATTACAAACGCTATTACTTGCGTTATTCACTCCAGTAGAGGTGCCACTTTTAAGCCCGCGGGCCGGCCATGTGCGGATTAAAAAGGCTCAAGTTTGACCTCTGGGAGTAACAGACGACGACGGCCGTACCGGCTCCGCCGTCGTCATAGCCACAGCCGTCGCGGAATAGGGCAACACTCTGGGTCTACTAAGAAAGGAAAAATGTAAAGCTGTAGCGAAACGCCGAAAGCGTAATTTGGACATGATCATAATTATAATTGGTCTCCTCATTGCATCTTCACCGTGCTGAAATGGTTCTACCAACAGCTACTATTAGACGTAACTTGTAACTAGCGTAACTTGATAACTTGAGGTCCTAGTCTTGATTTCTAGTAACTGGTCTAGAGGATGTTTTTGAAATATGATCCAAAGATGGGACGCCTTTTTTAATGGAAACACCTTCACTGATGATACTTTCGCTTTGAAGCAAAATGGTTGCGGGACACGGGCTATTTCACTAAAATAGCCAGATAGCAGTATTTCATACAACACAGTCAACAGAGCTTACCTTTTCCATTTCACGGTTGGAGATATATCGATACATGCAGTGTCAAAAACAACAGGTGTGCTGGAAGGCGATAAGTGCTCAATCTGTAATTTAGTAGCACAAACGCCTTTTTGTTGTTTTTTGTTGTTGAAAATGGTGTGGGTCTCAACGTTGATGCAACAGATAAACACGGATTTCTTACAATTAGTGGTCAAAATAATTGAGAACAGCAACACGCCATAACTGACTAAAGGCGGTATTTTCCAAGAGGCTTGGGCCAACGAATGGTGATAACCCAGGCCAAGCTTGTAATAGGCGCACCTAAGATAACAGGTATTCAACCGTTACTCATCTAAAAGCAAACCTCAAATCCCGGCCGAAATGGAACACCTCACATTAGAAAGCATATTGTTCTATTTCCATTGCATCACTGTAAGAACATCATTTTACATATTAGTAGAAAACATATCATGAATTTTCGAATTCATTAAGAGGCAGGTGGCCACGCGCATGCGCACGCGAACGCACAGCCACACACACGCGCGGGCACACACGCACACACACACACACACACACACACACACACACACACACACACACACACACACACACACACACACATACACACATACACACACACACACACACACACGCACACACACACACACAAAGCAGAATGCATGTATACGCACGTGCTCGCACATAAGCTCACAAAGGCATTCAAACACATACTGTTACACGTATCAACCGCCTTCAAGGAACGGGTAATAAACAAAGGCAGATTGTTGACATGCAAATCTTAGCACGTTTGTATATAGGCTTGCGTATATGAGTACCTGTTTTCGCTTAAGCGCTTTGGGCAAAGCAAACCGAAAATTCAGCATTCCAGTTGAAGCATCTGATTGATTTGTTTTCCACTACATAAACGGTGCATTTATCGCACAACGTGAAATGTGCTAAAAATAGGCATGATTAGAGTTCTTAGTGCACAGAGCAACCAACTTGCGGAATTGCTGAAAGGCTCCAATTCATAATCTTGGCGAAAATCGGGCTTGAATGAAGCCGATATACACGACAGACCGAGCATTAAAACACCACAATTTATAGAACATAGATTTGTTAGAAAATTCATCAAAACGTTGGAATTTCCTGACCACGAACGACCTATTCACACACTTAGCAGCCATGTGTGAGAAAGCATTTCATTGTAACTTGGCATTCAGTTTGGCTTACTTATTGTACTATAATGGTAAACACATTGAAACCTCCTTCGTACATGTTCAGAATGAAAAGACGCGTTCAGATGAATGCATGGTGGGTAAGTCATACCCTTGTTGTCAAAGGACTTGGAAGAATATCGAGTCACGGTAGAATATTGTTGCCTATGGTAAGCACAACAAATTCGCCATTTTTCCACATGCCTACATCACATTGTTTTATGTGAGCGATATGTATGTTGCGCATACGTAAAAAGTACAATATTGACCATGAATCTAATGGAAGATTTTGTGTCACAACCGCTCCAGCCCAATGCTCCTGCATTTCCGCGAAATGTTTCAACATGAGACTGTTGGAGTCCGGTAAACCAGTGTTGTACCAGCAAAACGGAAGCCATACGCACAAGATCTCTTTCCATCGACGACACGAATAACATACTTAGCTGTCATTAAGACTCAAAATTGGTATCCATTACTTTCAAGAAAAAATACTAGGTTTTCACCATGCATTCGAATGTTTGCACAAGTGGACATTTGATGTTTAATATCTGCGTCCGGATTTTACCAACAACCGAACATTCTGTCAACTACTACATGTTTCCAAACTCCAATACTCATCTCTCCCACCCACGTGTGCTTTTGGGGAATGATAGTTGTGACACATAACAAAGTTGAAAATATGTACGAATCGAACGTACGGAATGGTGTGTACGAATCCAACAGTCTACTCTTAGAAAGAATTTCACTGTCACACGGCGTGTTTACGTCGGTGACACTGAAAGAAATCAAGCTTATATGATAAATCGTAAACAACACAAAACGTCAATCCCTCAATACGTTCAGTCCAGTCAATATTAGATAGTTAATGGCTATTTACCACAGACATTTTTTCCGTACCTACAACACCGGCGAGCTTGATGCAAGCTGAGGAAGGAAACAAGCCTTGTCGGTTCTTCCAGGTGGTCGTGCAGCGAGGGCTCAACGTGTCCGGGATGTTGGAGAACGGGTCCTCGCAGCTGGGCATGCTGCCGTTGATGGAGACACAGTGGAAGCAGGCCATTCCCTGGATACCTGCAACAGGGTAGGCGGGCATCTGTCGAGTACTTTCCAAAACAATGCCGGTGATTCAGTCGCTCGGTGTGGGATCGTCGAAGTGTCCCTTTTCTGTAGAAATACCGCAGAACTGCTATATATCTTTTGAGGATATTTAGCGTCAAGCACTTTTCACTTCTGGACAATCAGTCGTCTAAGTTGTCAAGGTTTTCAAATAAATTCCTTGACACTTCGAAGCTTCATTATTAGCACTGAATCACGGCCAGAGGACAAACGAACAAGGGGGCTGCCATCCTGCGTTTCATTTTCGTTTTCACATGAGTATATTGGACCTGACCAATACAACTTGCAACCCTACATATGCCTGGCTGGAAAGATTTATTCCCAAAAACCGGTTTCTGGTTCTTAGTTCCTGGTTCCGGGACTAGGAAGAACCCATAATGCATTCTCGAATAAGACCAACAGAACCACCAGGAACCAGGATCCAGCCTCATATTAGGCCGAAAGATCCAGCAAGAACCACGAGCCCGCCCGATACTAGGTCAAAGTAACTATCAAGAACGAAGATTCAGCCTGGCATTATGTCAAAAAATTCAGCCAGAGCTCACATACAGCCTGGCACATACAGTCACGTGGCAAGAACCAAGATGCAGCTCAATATTAGATTGGGATCCAGCAGGAACCAATGTCCACTCTGAAATGATGTGCAGTAAGCAGCAAGAACAAGACTTGTACCTGAAGCCTTGTGTGAGCCTTGAGGTTTAGCCCACTCTACCATCGTGCTTTTTTGTAGTTGTGCGTCGCGCAGCCGCATGAAATCGCACTTACAAAGAAAAACACGACGGTTTCATCCATGCCGATAATGGTACGTCACTTTGTGCTTTCTGTCTGCTTTTTCAGCACACTAGGAAATGTACCAGGTTTTTTTTAGCGTGAAGCGTTTTAAAAATACTTTGTAGCTTCTGGTGCGCGGTGATTACCTCAGATAGAAATGCAGAATGCTCCTACATTCATAAAACGAGAATTAATTGCATGTCGCCCGTCATCCGACATCTGTCATGACCGCTGACGCTCTGACACTCATATACGTACTATCCGCTTGCCAAGTACCCTGATGATCGCTTAAGCTACCCAAAATATTACCAAATCTGCTTGCGATTTATGGATGGGCAGTCTTGGGTGGCATGTTAACCCCCATTGAGTTCCTGGCTTTCTTTTTAAAAGGCATTGGGGCTTCTAAATCATTACAAGGGAATCACAGGCAAGCCAATGCATTGTTGGATTTCAATTTGTATCTGGTTTATAACAGTGGGAGTAGAGTAGATAGGACTCAGATCGGTAAGTGCCTACCTGATGCTAAAGCTTTTTCCAGATAAGAAGAGCACTTAATTCACCTGAAGCAGGTCATCGTCGGGTGAGAAAGTTACCTTTTGACCCTAGCTGTAGACGGCAGCATCTTAGTCCGCTGAAATAAATCATTTGGCGGCGGGGGGGGGGGGGGGGTACAAATAGTAATTCATGACGGTGCATCAATCCTCGTTCCAGCAGACACCTGGAAACGGATCATTTGAAGCAGTACGCTTAAGCTGAGGTTTTTAAAACGATAATTATAGTTGACTGACTAGGTAAACAGAGACTATAGTACTTCCACGAAATTATTTTTTTAAAAAATTATCAGACGGGAGGTTGTATTTCGAAACTGTATGGTGTGCTTTCTATCAGTAAAACATGTTCCCATCCAATTTCTTAACTCTGACGTGTGCTGTCATCCGCTGCGGTTAATTGGGATTACTGGCAACATCAGAAGGAAAAGTAGTTTTGCTATGATAAGACAGGTTAGTGCAGTATAGCATATTTTAGCTACCTTGTAAGGATTAGAGCTCCCTTTTTCCATAAAAGCATTAATGAGTGGCATTCATATCAAGCTGTTAATGTGATCTATTCACAAAAAGGGTGGCTGGAATATGTGTGGAATGGAATGGAATAATAATAATAATGGAATATGCTATGTTCTATGTAGCCAGTTTGTGCTTTCCTTTGAATTCAGGCTGCCGTGTTTTATTAGTGTAAAGATTTTGTGCTGAGTTAATGTCTCCATTGAGCATTTCAGGCACCATCTATTCAGGCACCATTTAGTGATAATTTCCATTTGATTGGTTTTCAGTCTGTTTAATCCGTGATTTGGAAAATCCGGTACGGTACTTGTGTATGTTTTGGTGGTGATTTCTAACCCGGTCCAATCTGACCTGCGCGTTGATACACAATCCGTGGATGGATCCAATCCGTGAGATGTTCTAGACAGAACTTATACCAATATCACATTTTTTGTTATATAAAACGAGTTGTTTCAGATGAATACGCACACCTTGGACTAATTACCAAAAAAGCATACACAAGACAAAAGAATCGCTGAGTCAGCCTTATGAAGCGCACCAAGTGAATTCACATGATGCGCTGCGGTTGGGAAGATTGTTTTAAGGATACGGCCAGTTAAGCCATATCAGACAATTCTGATTGGCAATGCACAGACCAAACGCCTCACAAACCTGTTGATTGAATGCAGCATACTAGCTCAGGATACCAACCGCATGTCCAAACGACGCGGCAGAGCCGGACTAGTGCCAGCATTTGTACGTTAGAAACCATCCACGAGATGACTGTTACGTTTTCAAGTCATGTTTCGAATTGCGTGCCAAGAGGTGTAGTATGAAAAGGAACACACTGAAAGTATGCCATAAAATGGTAAGAGAAATTGTCAAAGAGTTAAAACAAAAATATATATGGACCGGACCATATCAGCGGTCAGTGGTAAATCACATCACGCATGGCGATCTTAAACGCGCTCAGTGTTGTAGCATGACAGACGTACGCTGGCATGCGGTTCCAAGCAGCTGCGATCCGATGCGAAAACACCATCTGTGTGGCGGTCAACGATGCCTGCGCAAATGCAGACTACCGCTGCCCGAGGCGAGCGTTTCACGGGTCGAAACAGCGGCGCGTGGGACAAAAAGCGAACGGAACTCGTGAGACGGACCTACCTCCCTTAGCGCCTTGAACACTTTAATCACATTGCGATGTGCCACTATGCCCTCGATCCTCGCTCATCCAAGGGAATTTAGAGCAGGAGTCATATTATGTTTTTTGGAGCTGCTAATTACTCTCGCAGCGGGGTAGGTCCTGTTTTTAATTTTGTATAGTTGACTCTTGGTTTCCCCACCCCACACGCACAGTCAGAACGTAACATGAAGTAACACCTGCGCCTGGATGATTATTTTGAGAAAATCTGAAGCGAAGTAATGATTAAATTTCTACAACAAACGATGATGCCAATGCATTTTTACAGCACTCGAGAATAACCAAGTTGTGACTTATTCAACTCGTCTGACTGCTGGTACGCGACCAATAGTGACTGGATGTATGATGGTCATTTCCGTTCAGTCCGACAAAAGCAAGACTCAGAGATACGGATACGATGACATCAGCATACGAAACGTGCGATGTGCGATTTGAGGTTGAAGAAAAGTGGTAGGCTCCGTTCACGTCATCCAGCCCCTTTTCCAGCTGACGCAGTAAAATATCCAAACAAGAGGTGTTTGTCTGAGTGTATGTGATTCGCAAGAAATGTATAAGTGCCGACCGACAAGAACCTGACTATCGCGCCGCGAAATGTTCGAGGCCATACTTGTTAACCCTTCGTAACTTAGACAATTTTTTTCTAGGGATAGAAATAGTGAGGTTCGTCCAACACATGCCACAGTTCTGAAAAAATCATCAAACGGCAGTCTGCAATGGTCTGGCCGTGTCAATGAGTTGCCGTTGCCTATGGCCCTGCCTATGGCAATCAGCTGTACGACCTAATGGCAAAGCTGATCGCGAACACATTTCTTTACCTGCAACATAACTTGTAAAGGTGTGCCAACCTGAAATCGCATGATGAAGTACGTCCCAGATAACCAACGAAGTTTAAAGGACCCTTCGACTGGCTATGCTTCGTCCAGGCTCGAACCAAATGGAGATGAAAATGACTGAGGCCCGGCTCAAGTCTGCGTGACCACGCTGCAGCGACATGGTCGTATCCTGATGGCGATTGAAAACCCAAGTTTAATGTCCGTCATCGAAGAACATGGCGGCAACCAATCACGCGTCGTTCTGAAGAACGCCGCCAAGGCACTGCTCGCACCACATGTGAGGCAATACCTGCCGACCAGCGCAGTCTATACGCAGACGGCTATATGGCTGGGACGGATGCAATTACAAGTAACAAGATCAGATGCAGAGAAAGCTTTACAACGACAAAACAAGACGAGAAAGCTGCACATTCCTAATATTCCGGGCTAATATTACTGTAAGCCAACATTTAGATTGTGTTTGATTTACAATGAGGTTCCAGAGTGCATGAAGTCGGAGATCAGAGAGCGCAGAGATGAAATGCGTTTTATGAGCATATGATAAGAAAGCTGTTTGCAACTGTACCGCGACTTTCCAACAGTCTTTTTGAAGACAGGTATGATTTTTTTAAAGCAGCAAGTTGTGCAGAAGACTCAAGCGGGACAGCTATGTGCGATGCGATGGCATGTGCGATGCCACCCTTTTGTACAACGTTTTATTGTTACGCAGCGCCCTCTTCTCAATTATTAATTTTAAAAAATGAAGATTTAGGCAGTGAGACTAGAGTGGGTATTTCACTTGTACAGCAGAAAAACTGCATCATATGATAGAGTGCGTGCTAGATTATGAAAAATTTGAGAGGATAAGTGGACGTCAAGCCCAGTGTCGTTTCATTCGGATGATGGCAAAAATGTATTATGCATTCTGGACATCCCTACCAATTCTGTACTATCAGCCATGCAACCAACTTCTCTATATCAATCTGTGGAAAGACGTTTGTTGCAAAATAATGTTTTTGTCTGCAGGAGGTTGCACCCTTTTTACGAAAAATCGGAAATAACGTGCAAAGGCTTAGCTTGTGAATTGAGACAACTGTTTGCCTTTGCACAGATATCTTTCTGAAGAAAAATGATGCATGCACCCTATTCCAGCCATTTCATTCGTGAATTATGAAGGCATGTAATGCACAGGTACATAATAGTTATAATTCAGTGTGCTCCAATTGCGAGTCCATGTTAAATCGCACTAGCGCCATTGGGAGTGCATACTTGTGTACTGGGGATGAGGATGTATCACCCCCAACCCTCCTCGAAAAATTATGTAAAGTTCTGGATGTGTTAGCTGCGGCCTTCTAAATGAGAAACGCATCTAAGCCTTTACGTTACTCTAATGCTTGGACGGACTGCAAAGCAATAACAACCTGAAATAGCATCAGCAGCATTCTCAGCTCTACCCAAGCCGTGGCACTCACCTGGCAACGCTATGAAGAAGGTGAAAGCGAGTCGAATCATTGCCGATCCTGCAGTTCCAGTGTCGAGTGCTCCCAGCCGGCCGGAGAAAGGTCTACGAGCTGCACCGTGCGATGCGACTGACGATCGAAATTGGCGGCGGTTCGGGGACTGGCACCAAAAGGTCAAGCAGACTGGAGCCGACGTGGGCGGAGGCGGCTTGGCCCGCTGCTCGAGATGACCAGGCCCTGCCGTTGTCGCAGCCCAGAACCCGCACGTGACTACAGCCCCTCCCGGTGGTCCGGTGCGGCCTGAACGTGGCCCAGATCAGCCGCAGACCGCAAATACCGCCGGTCGATCTAATCGGCGCACGAGAGGAGCTCATTTCACTAAACCACAGTAGATATTGCCTCTTGTGGTCATTAGGAACGTGTGACTCCAGGCATACCTCCCACCCTTCTAATTATTGGGGACTGCCTTAAGGAAAACCCATCCTCCCGCGTGAAAATGTACAGCCGACATGGTTACAGCACATTACATTAATAACCGCGTTGTTATTCATGTTTATAGTAACACCGAGATGCCATATATATGCAACCTAACACCGGTCAACAGATATAGTTTCTTACCCAATATCTCTGCACAGCTATAGTTTCTTACCCAACATTTCTACACAGCTATAGTTTTTCAACAGTTACAGTTTCTTACCCGACATTTCTTTAGCCGGAAAACGCTTCGGTGTCTACTTATTCACGATGACGCTCAGGTCAGTAGGCTGTAACACTAAGATTTAATGAAATCGCCGTGCTCATTGCATTTATGATCAGACTTCAGCCTTGAGCGCAGCTCGCACGAATGATCTGTCTGCACGCCTGCTAATTTCCTTTTTTTGCTTGCGGTCATCAGTACACATCGTGTTGAAATATAACCTCGCAAAGGTGTTGGTAGCGGCGGCAGTTTGTTTTCATTGCCGTTAAGCACATTCCGTTAGGGCGGCTTAAGGCGCTAGCTCCGCGGCTTCGCTAGCGAGCTGAAACATGAAATTAAGGTAGGAAGCCATGCTGCGTTAGGCCGGATAACAGCAGATCCTCGGACGTGGCCATATTGCTGCCTGCCATCTGGTAGGCCCAATAACGGTAAGCTGGGGCCTTCGCGCCACGAACGGCTGCAGCCATGTAACTTATGCACGCGAGCTCGTTTGAAGAGAGTGTTCGGGCTTACAAACTACCGACTGGCTGGGGTGCTGAAAACTGTTTTTTTTTTGTGTTGGTTGTTATGAATGTATACCATCACAACTAACAATTGATGACAAATGCACGTTAGACTGAGGTTGAAACTGAGGTCGAAACTAACCTGCTTTTTTACTGGAGAGCCTGTTTCATGGAGGAGTTTCTGGTGCTCATCTCGAATCTATTTATTGCAAGGACCGTAACAAGCAAGTTCCATGGGCTTTCTAAAGGACAGATTAGGTCACTGACCTAAAATGGCCCTGGCCAATATTTTGCTTCGGGAACATACCGCATGGGGTAATCCCTGATAAGCATTTGAATGGAAAAATAACAGTAATCTCGTATTTTTTTGGTCACCTTCACCCTCGTAAGTTCAAACAAGATCACTGACCTTAAATGGATACCAGTGATCTTTTTCTTAGAATAGGCATCTAGGTTTACGGCTGTTGCATAAGGAGCCCTGGGACACTTGCGCACCAATCTGGAGTTTGGCCTTGTTAGAACTTATTTTTCACAAAGTCATGATTTATAAACTTTAAATTTGGTATTTGGCAAACCCACCCTGCAAATGTTGTGTCTCTATCTATCTTAATTTGGAGATCTTCTTTGGGATTAAATTGATCTCTACCCCCAAGCGAAGGGTATTCAGTGGGCCACCCGGGGGCGTGTTTGACCATTTTCAAACATCCCTCCTACTGGTGACGCACTGGTGACGCTAGGGGAGACCTCCCTCACCGCACCATCCCTGCCTACGCTTTGTTAAAAGTAACCGTTTAGTCTGAAATTAAGCTAGAAATGCGCAAATGTAACAGGTCTGTGCGCAGCCTGAGAGGAACCGAGCGATATTCGGCTTTAAGGTCTTTATTTGCTCTTGAAGTCTTAGCGTGGTTTGCAGCCACACCAGAACCTAACGTTACGCTGCCCAAAACCTTCCTCCCTACCTTCCGATATGCTGTACCGTTATGGCCAGATCTGACCATCTGAAGGCAGTATTTTTCCGACATCGGCCGATCTTTCATCATATCCCGCGTCCTGTGAAATTTAATCTACGGGAAATGAAGAAGATTATGCTCGTTTCCTGCAACTATTATACTGTGTATCCAGCGTGCGACACCCTGCCTGTATATGACGTGACCTGGACTGCGCACCGTGGTACAATCATGATGTCATACATCATATCAATCAATATATATCATATATAATATATGATATCAATACAATAGCATATCCAACATCATTTTAATGCCCACGTTACACCGCATGGCTACAAATATGGGGATACAAAATCACACCACAGTGTAATGACTAGCGTTAATGCTTTTAAACCGATTACAAGCAGTCCAAGTGCAGCATAATGTCAAATTCCAATCCGATCCGACACAGTGGTCCGTTCTAACGTGCTTTGGTTCGTCCATAATCCTACCTGTCTCCAGCAACCCTCAAACGAGAAATATAAACACATCAGGATTGTAACACGAGCGGCAGATTAGCCAGCGATATTGTCATCCCGCCCCCAGCGGGAGGTCGATCGTCACCCGAGACGGGGCACTCGCTCACGGTTGTCAACAAGCACGGGTGACGTTTATAGCCATATGAAACGACACCTTGGCTTTTTATGTGGTCCAGGAACTTTCGGCCAAAATCATCGCATTTTTGTATGCGATAATAAAATTTGTATCGCACGTTCATTTTTCTTCATCTTTGCACCATGCATTTTTGTTGGTTTCTGACATAATTCTTTCGGATGAGTGGAGGCCGTTTTGAAGCTGCTCTCTGCCATTTAGATCGCTGACCTTAAATTAACTTCAGCTAGAAATACTCAAATGTTATTATAATAATTAACAACGTTGCAGAAATGCTGCCCCAATGATGTTTTTGCTCTAAGTGTGCGATCTCATTGGTTAGCGTAAGTACCTACCATTCGTTACTGTTGTGTCTAAGTGTCACCCAAACATCCACCCTACTTTTCGGTTATTCAACTGAAATTCACAAAAACGGACGATAAAAAGCGTGTCGTTGTCTCCTTCAAGCCCTAATAATATTCAACTATGCGAGTTCTGAGACACTACAACGCCGGCGCGCGCCAAACAGAGGTATCCCTGTTTGTCTGGAGAGCTGGATGGATGGGTGAGGGGGGGGGGGGGGCATAGCGTTTCATACATGTTATGAGTTCATTGGAGGAACATATGCCAAAATGTTCCCATCGTTGTTGCCATTGTTAAATTTTTCTAAGCACTCACGCTGGAAAACGTATATTAGTGAAATGAAATATTCACTTCAAGAACACTTTCAGGCCGCTTTTACACGATCAGATTAGGATCCCTCCCATCCTTAAAGACCATGGCGCACCATGCGCACCGCGGCCCACATGGTGCACCATGCGGACCAGGGAAAAACCCATGTGGGAAAATATCTTTGGGGTACGTTTTATCATTTTGCACTTCTCAGCCCTCCCGAAGCCCATGTTTGAAAACTATGATTGTCCAATGTACACGGTATACAACTTATATGGTGTAGCAATCACGTCAAGTAAAAGCCTTTGCAGCAGGAAGAATGTCCCGTATAAGTAACATCTGTGTAAGCTTTTGCGGTAGAAGTGTAACCTTGCGCATAACTGATGTCGTAGCACTCCTGCCGACAGGAGCCTTTGTCGTGGCACTGAAGTCGTGGCACCATTGGGACATCATTTCCAACGCTGTTTTCCCAACTGTTAGGGCGTGTCGAGTTCTTGGTACGGCCGCACGAATCAAGGCAACAACGGTCTTCACCCCTTTGATCTGACATCATATATCGCAAGTAAAATAAGATTACGCCTTATTAGTGGCTGGCTGATATAATTTTCCAAGAGTTATGGAATGCTGCCATTTGCCTTCTCGTATCATGTTTAGTTCACGGGATAATAGGGGGTCTTAAAGAGTGTTAATTTCACCACTTTAACACGAGATCCCCCGCTGGGCGAAGGTGAAAAAACTCCCGTACAGCAAAAGTTAATAGCCGACGAAAGTCATGGACGCACCGGCCGGCCAATACAATAGAAAACAAGTCATTCGTCGCAGTTTAGTTTTATTAAAGAACCTGCCGTTTTTTCTTGGCATCAGCCCACCTGAATTCGGGGAAAATTTGCGTACATATAGGGTAAGGTGGGGCAAGGGGCCCCGCCGAGGTAAAACGCCCGATCAAGATATCTTAGAATTTAAAAAGTTCCGGGGAAACACTTTCTGCTATGTTAAACAAACAAAATGGGATCAGCACGCTGGCAGGTAGCGACGAGCCTGGTGGATCGCGTTGGAGAGATAAGGGTAAAAATGTGTTTGCGAGTGTTTTTTTCTTTCTTCCATTTTTGGGTTCCAATGCCAAGCTAAGGCAATTGTTTATACCACACTACAGTTCAGAATCGTTAATACATATCTAGAGATCATAATTTGAACCCAAAATTGCTTTACTACTCGGTGTTGAATCCGTGTTGGTTCTCGTTCTTGGCGCCGCTTTCTATCCGAATGAGTGGTCGGGACAAAACGCCACAGTTGGTCGTGAGGTAATAAGCCCCACGGGGTGTCTCGCGCCATTTGTGCGTTTTAGTGACAATTTTCTGTTAAATCGGCTAGTGACTAGGTGACCATAGTTTAATCCGTGTAACTATTTTGGAACTTTTCAGCGACAGAATTTTGAGGAAATGCAATTGCAGGAAGATAATGATATTGACAGTTGATTCATCTCTTAAACTTAGAAATGTGATTAAAGTTAACAGCATATTGTTGTTTATATTGTAATTGTGCATTAAAAATGTCTTTTTGTTTCAGGCACAGTGCGGACATACAAGCAAAAAGCGCAGCGCATGAAATATGGCGAAATTGCCATTAGAAAATTTTGGGA